GTGCGCACGCCTATGATTAAAAGTTATAATTTATTATTTCTAGGGTTGCTGTCTTAGTACAAGAAACCGGCAGGGATACCATTTAGATCCATTATGCCCCTAAGGTTTGCTTGCACTCTTTTTCTTTAGTCATTTTCTATCTGGGGTCACCCCCCGTTAATCTTAAGCAACCTGACACACTCTCTTTACTTTTCTTCTATAATAATAAATAAATAAAATGTTAGAATGTTTTTGATTTATTTACTTTCTTGGTGAAGTAGGATAAGTAAAAAAAATAGCTTCAATTAAATTAAAGGAACTGTAGAAAATTACATATTCTATATTTATATCCATGTTAGGTATGAATGTATAATAGGTTAAAAAGAACAAATGGTAATATGCAATGCTGTACCATTAAAAGTCTGTAATATTGGTGTATAATGAGAGGGTCTTCATATATGTCCCTATATAGCCAGTGCTTTAGTTAAAAGTTATGACGTTATAATAGTCGTGTCTATAAAAGAACAGTAGATAAGATGTTCTACTACCACTCTTCGTTTGTTTCCCTGATGCTTACTCTCTATCTAAGATCTATCTTTCTGTAACATCAATTAAGCTGTATCATCTGTTATGTTTTTATGTATGCATTGCTGTTTGCATTGGAAGTAGAATAAAGGTATATTTAGAATGCAGGGTATAGAAAGAATGGCCAGGCTTAACGTGTGCCCTAGATAGGTGAAAATACAGAGTCAGTATAAAAGCCAAGGTCAAGGATACCAGAGGTACTCAAAACACAATTAAACAAGCTGGGGTCAATAATACAGAAAGACAGTCAGTAGGAAGCCGGGTCAGTAACGAGAAACACCAAGTTGAGAGGGGCAAATAAGGCCGTATAGGAATTAACAGGAAAATTAGTCGGTTTAGGTGTGCCGGAACCGACGTTGTGGTAGGCCTGTAATAAAAGAGGGCACACCCATGAGGTGTAATGAAAGGATAGGTAGAGGGAGTGGAGGGTGGGGACACGCGAGTCGCTAAAAAACGTACGGGACGGAGGAAGGTGAGTAGGGGGGTTTAAGTAGAGTAACATGCCCCTCCCACAACTGCAGGCCAAGCATTTACATTTGTGTGAGGGGCAAATAAGGCCGTATAGGAATTAACTGGAAAATGAGTCGGTTGAGGTGTGCCGGAACCGACGTCGTGGTAGGCCTTTAATAAAAGAGGGCAAAAAATTGGATACCTGTCAGAAATGAAAAACAATCAACAAAACCTAATTGCCTAGCTGTATGGTAAATGCCGAGCGAGGAACTAGTTGCCCAGTGCTTAACCGGCACTCTTCGTTATGCAAGGGGAAGTAAGGTATGGTAAACATGTTGGCCCTCTAGGGTAGTGTGGGGGTAGAGAAAGGTAAACAATAGACTGCATGAATAGGTGAGACTTCCTGAGATAATGCTAAAAGAAGGACGTGGTGGCTGTGGGAAAGTATGTGATACCCAAGAAACTGTGGAAGCAGGTATAGCAGCTCAACAACTAGATTACATAGTTAAAGAGACTAGTTCCCACTAAGTACAAACGGTTGATCCAAAAGAAGGCGAAAAACCCAGTTTGAAGCGCTGCCAATTTGCAACAAGCTGGGAAACAATTCCTTCTTGACCCCATAATGGCAGTCAGATTTCCTTGGATCAAGCAGTTATTGCACTACATTGAAAGTAGATGCCCGGTTCGTAGTGTCAGGCCTTTATAGGTCTGTTAGTGGTTGAGATACTTGGATGTTAATGTGAAATCAGTAAAATTTAAATTTCCCGGAACCTGAAACGCCTTGAGTATGGTATGAGGACATGAAAACTGTGTATGAATGGTAAACCTGTACAACAGTGGAGTTGTAAACCGGATATGTAGAGTTGATGCAAGTTAGAGGTGGCAAAAGAAGCAAAACCAAAATGCAGACAACACAGCAACACATACAGTATCAGAATACGCGAAGAAGGAGCCTCAAAGGGGAAGAAGGCCCTAACACACGTGCGAACATTGGAAAAGAGCCAGATGTGAAAAGATGACGACCATGAGCTTGCAAGGCTGGCAGCCTGTGGTCGGGCCCTAAAACGCAGGGAATGGCAGCGGCTACGGGAGAGTAAGAGTAACGGAAACACCACAGCGCGATGAGTATCAGACCTAGCCACAGAGCTCAGGCGGAGAAAAAACAATGCCAAACGCCAAGCAGCAGAGACCTGCTAGAAAAAGAGACGAAAAAAAACAAAACAAAACAGAGCATAAGTGTCCCAATTTGCACGTGAGTGTGAAAGTGTGTGAGTGTGCATGCTGGCATACTAGCTAATGCCAAAAGGCGAAGCAATTAAAAACTAGGTTTGGTGACAGGTGAGGCCCTGCTAGATGCCAAGCGGCGAGAGAGGCTCTAACTATGAGTTGGCGCGAGGGGATAACGTGGCCACTGAACGTTGTGGTGGGGTGTTGGCCTCTCGGTGACAGCTAAACATAAGATAGAATGGGAGTGACAGGTGAGGCCCTCCCTATGCCACAATGCGAGGCGACTAACTATGATTTGGCCCGAGGGGCGTAGTACCTCCGAGTATGAGGATGGGTGTTGGCCTCGTGGGACCACAAACCTAAGGCGAAGAAGCCAGGGCGGAATTACCAACTAGTGGACACCTAGGACCAGCCAGCCACAGCTAACTAAGAGGGGAGGGAAGGTAGTGTGAGAGGATAGGTTTGCTGAATGTGTATCGACGAAGTGAGTGTGAACGAGGAAACACCGCAGAGCCGACCGCAACTGAAAGCAGAGCAAGCACCGCAGTGTCCAGGCGGACGGCTGAAAGGAGCTAGCCCGGTAGTAGGAAACAGAACAGAGTTGGTGTAAACCCCACGGGGATCACGAGACCCAGTGCGAGTGTGTGTGAGCGTGCGCGGGAGTGCTGGCATACTAGCTAAGCCAAAAGGCGAAACAATTAAAACTAGGTCTGGTGACAGGTGAGGCCCTGCTAGATGCCAAGCGGCGTGAGAGGCGCTATCTTTGCGTTGGCGCGAGGGGATAACATGGCCACCGAAATGTTGTGGCGGGGTGTCGGCCTCTCGGTGACAGCTAAACATAAGATAGAATGGGAGTGACAGGTGAGGCCCTCCCTACGCCACAATGCGAGGCGACTAACTATGATTGGCCCGAGGGGTGTAGTACCTCCGAGTGTGAGGATGGGTGTTGGCCTCGTGGGACCACTAACCTAAGGCGAAGAAGCCAGGGGGGAATTACCAACTAGTGGACACCTAGGACCAGCCAGCCACAGCTAACTAAGAGGGGAGGGAAGGTAGTGTGAGAGGATAGGTTTGCTGAATGTGTATCGACGAAGTGAGTGTGAACGAGGAAACACAGCAGAGCCGACCGCAACTGAAAGCAGAGCAAGCACCGCAGTGTCCAGGTGGACGGCTGAAAGGAGCGTGCCCGGTAGTAGGAAACAGAACAGAGTTGGTGTAAACCCCACGGGGGTCACGAGACCCAGTGCGAGTGTGTGTGAGCGTGCGCGGGAGTGCTGGCATACTAGCTAAGCCAAAAGGCGAAACAATTAAAACTAGGTCTGGTGACAGGTGAGGCCCTGCTAGATGCCAAGCGGCGTGAGAGGCGCTATCTATGCGTTGGCGCGAGGGGATAACGTGGCCACCGAAATGTTGTGGCGGGGTGTCGGCCTCTCGGTGACAGCTAAACATAAGATAGAATGGGAGTGACAGGTAAGGCCCTCCCTATGCCACAATGCGAGGCAACTAACTATGATTGGCCCGAGGGGCGTAGTACCTCCGAGTGTGAGGATGGGTGTTGGCCTCGCAGGACCACTAACCTAAGGCGAAGAAGCCAGGGGGAATTACAACTAGTGGACACCTAGGAACCTGACAGCCAGCAACAGCTAACTAAGAGGGGAGGGAAACGAGTGAGATAGGGGATGCACTGTGAGCGAAAAGAAAGAGGGGGTGGTGTACAAGGAAGAAAAACGTAGGGCCGACCGTAACTGGAGGGCAGAGTGAGCCCGTTGGAGTCCAGGCAGTCAGGTTGAAAGGAGCTAGCCCGGCAAAAAGGTAATAGAATCCGTGTTGGTGTAAAACCACAGGGCTCGCGAGACCCAGTGCGATTGTGCGTGTGCGTGTGAATGAGTGCTGGCATACCAGCTAAAGCCCCCCCCCCCAAAAAAAAAAGTGAAACAATGAAAACTAGTTTTGGCGACAGGAGATCTTGGGGGAAATGAACTGAAAAATAGAGCACAAATGACACACACCCTCCATCTGTGCTATCCTTAGGACACAAAGTTAAGTGGACATGTGGTGGTATATGGAGTGGCCACATGGACGCCTGTTTGGCAGTGAGTGTAGATGTGTAAGTGCGATAGTGCTGCAGGCAGCGAGGAAAAGAGGAGAAAATCACAACCGCGGTAACTACACCTTAATAAGCACAAAACCTGAAAATAGCCAAAGGAAAAGCCTGAAACACTGCACCTGTGACAGAACAGAAAAATGTATTTAGCACAGACTGCCTGCATGGGTTGTGGTTTGAAATGAACACGAACCAGCACATCTTTCTGCCCAGTGACACAGGACTCCCCAGATTAAGAACTGTATCAAAAAGGAGCCTGCCAGTCCTAAATGCAACGTTATCCCCATCTCAGTGTCCAGCAATCAGCAGCTGCTATATTCATGTATTAGACAGGCATGTGGAGGTGGAGTGCTGGGAACCTAAATAGCACTGTAAAACTATATAGCGTACAAAATATGCACTTAGTGCTCGTTTAAGAAGCATCTGTTCAGGGCTTAATAATTATAAAGGAGCGTTTGAGCACTTTGTATATAACAACTGCTTAATAATATTTGAGGGGGAGGGCATATCTGCTGATACAGGATCCAGCCCCTGTCCAGAAACACCCGGGGAAAGTCACAGGATTCCCAAAGTACATCCGTGCAGAAAATCACCAAGCCGGCGAAACAGCGGGCCGTTCGGGAAAACAGCTGCACGCCAGACATCCACGGAAACAATGCGAACCAAGCGAGCAACAGGAAACAAGGGGAAAGAAAAGCACCCGAAACGGAGGAAAGAGAAACTCACGGCAAGAGGAGATTTGACTGGAGAGACAGCCGACCGGAGCAGACCCCAGAAAAGGCTGTGGACTGATCGAAAACGGCGGGGGGAAAACGGCAGGCCAGGTAAGGAGAAACCACGAGGGAAACAGAGGGCGACCGGAAATAGCGACACGCGAGTCGCTAAAAAACGTACGGGACGGAGAAAGGTGAGTAGGGGGGTTTAAGTAGAGTAACATGCCCCTCCCACAACTGCAGGCCAAGCCTTTACATTTATCAGGATGCACTCTTGGGCTATAATAAACCATATATATTTTATTTAATCCATCTGATCTGTAAAGTTCCAGAACTCTGTAAGATGGCAGTAGTTGTTACTATCTATACGAAGCGTTTCCACTTGCAGTTTTTGCTGGGGCACAAAGCAATCAGGAAGAGCACCCTCCCTTTTGACTAATATATATATATTTCCTGACCATTATTCATGGCAGCATTTACTCATGGGTTAGCTCCTCCCCTCACAGCAGAAAGGACAGGAAATAGAACTCTTAAACTGGTATAAATAGAACCTCCCCCTTCCCATCAGGCAGTCTTTTTCATGTCCTTCACAGCAGTTTGGAAGGAGTCTGCTTATGCAGGCCTAGATTTTTTTTTTTATGCTCACCAGGCAATATTTTTTAGGCCCTGCCGGGGTTCAGCCTCTAACCCCTGAAGACCCAGCAACAGGCCAGCTTGGGTACCCCCTCAGGGGATGAATGTGATATACTGCCTACATGAAGCCAGGCCAGGGTTCAGCCTCTTATCCATGAAGACCCAGAAAACAGCATATCGATAAGAGTTGCCAGCCTGGGTTCCTACTTCAGCAGACAGGTGTCTGCCCTATCTCTCTCTCTCTGAAGTGATGACACTAGTCCACTGCACACATGAGGCCCAGTTGAGTATAAGCCTTTATCCCTGAAGACCCAGCAAACAGCACATGTGTAAAAGTTTCCAGCCTGGGTGCCTCCTTCAGCAATCAGGAGTCTAACCTATCTCTCTCCCTGAGGGGATGACAGCGGTCCACTGCATACATGAGGCCCAGCCAAGTCTAAGCCTTTATCCTTGAAGACCCAGTAAACAGCACTTCCATAGGTGATTACCGGGGTATACCTATTCTATGTATTCCACTTGGTATGGTGATGATGAACGGCATTACCCCTGGGTGGTCTTGGAGAAGGCCCTGAGCAATTCGGGTTCTCATGAGGTTGTGGTATTGCCTATGTATTTTGACCAAGGTTCCCATGTGGAAGCATAGTGGGCGTATTTATTATTCAGAGAGGCTGTCAGTTCCTTCATTATTCGAATCAATTCTACTTTCTGGAGCCATTCCCTCATTGATGGGGCCTTGGTGGCCTTCCATTGTACCTGGATGAGGAGGTTGGCCGCCGTGAGCAGGTGGGTCGTTAAGACCCTCTGTGGTTTGGCGATGGGGTCTGAAAATAGTATTAAAAGCATTGTCTCCGGCTTGAGTGGGGATGTTCCCCCCTGTAACGGTGTTGATTATCTCCCTTACTCTCTTCAAATAGGGTTGTATGGTTGGACATTGCCACCAGATGTGAGCTGTTGTCCCTCCCATTTGCCCACATCTCCAGCATGTATCTAGCGTGTGTGGGAAGATATGTTGTAATTTTGTATGTGCTTTCTTGAATAGCGGTGCTGACGGAGGATCTCTGAATGCCCTGAGATTTGGTGCCCCATTCCCCCTGGGTGATGTTAGTGGAAAGTTCCCTATTCCATGCTTGAGTGTAGTGTGGCATTTGTCCCTTAAGCTCTCCTTGGAGTAGCTTATAGAATATCGATAGATGTTTGTTTTTGAGGGATTGGGATGTGCAATATATTTCGTATGGTGTGAACGTCCGGGAGCCAGCTAGTAGCAATCGCGTGTATCATATGTAGTGGGTCAATTGCTTATATCTTTAAGTCTGCAGTGTCGTGGGTTGTTCTGGACCCAATAGGGATGCGAGCGGTTTGACTGAGCCACCCTCTAAGACTGAATGCAGTCTCAGATAGGGCGACCTCTGGGGTAGTTTTAAGAAGTCAAAGGAGTGGTTCGGTAGCCCTGGCTGGAACATTGGGTTTCCTGTCAGGGAGTAGAGGGGGGACGGATAGGGGGATATTGAGGTCGCCTGTCTCATGAGCTTCCATACTTGGTGGGATGACGGTGGGATGACGGGATTGGTGTGGGGATAGGAATGCAGATCCAGAGTTTTGCCACGGGATCCCGTGGAGTAGGGTTGTGAAAAAGGATTTCTCCAGTTGCACCCATTGTAGCTGCGGGCACGGGTTGGCCCATTCACATATCCTAGTGAGCATGGTCGCTTTGTGATAGAGCTCTATGTGTGGCATCCCCAGGACACCTTGGCTTTTGGGTTTTGTGAGTGTAGTGAAAGCTATACTGGGATGTTTGTTTGCCCATATAAATTTGGTGAAGAGGTGCCTGATTTTGAGGAAGAATGATTTGGGGATGTGGACTGTATTTGCAAAAGGTCTTGGGAGCGTATTCATTTTTAGAATGTTGATGCGGCACAGCCATCCAAAATGTGGCTTGTGCCATTTGGCCAGATCTGTTTCTAGAATACGGAGTAGGGAGAAAACTGATAGTATAAGTGACTGCGAGATTATGCGGTAGGTGTACCCCCAAGTATTTGATGTTTGCTTCAGGCCACGAGAATGGGTACTTCTCCTTCAGTGTGGTTTGCAGTGGTTGAGTGATTTCCAAGGGCAGGATCTCGCTCTTGGCGAAGTTAACTTGGAAATTGGATATCTTATTATATGTGGCTATCTCCCCTAGAAGTGGCTGCATGGATGTGCTGGGGGCGGTTAGCGTAAAGAGTAGATTGTCAACGAACGCTGAGATCTTGTATTCCTGGTGTCCCACCTGGAAGCCTGTGATGTCTTTGTTGTCCCTAATCCCCTGAAGGAATGGCTCCATCGTAAGGATGAAGAGAAGAGGGGACAGGTGGCACCCCTGTCTCGTGCCGTTCCGTATGTACACTGGGTTTGACAGTTGTCCGTTAATTTTGAGTTTGGCCGTGGGGGTGGAGTATATCACCTCAAGCCATCTGTCCCAGTTTGGCCCAAAACCCATGGCTTGCAATGTGGCTCTAAGGAGAGACCAGTCCACTCGGTCGAATGCTTTTTCAGCATCGACCGAGAGAAGGAGGCTGGGTAGGCTGTGAGAGTGAGACAGATGGATGAGGTTTAAAAGCTTTGTCATGTTGTGCTTAGCCTCCTGTCCTGGGACAAAGCCTGCTTAATCTGTGTGTGTAAGGTCGGGTAGCAGGGGGCGTAACCGGTTTGCGAGAATTTTAGTAAAAATTTTGAGGTCCACATTGATCAGTGATTTTGGGCAATAACTGCCACAATTGGTGGGGTCTTTTTCTGGCTTTGGCAGTAAAGTAATATGTGCCTCTAAAGCAGGGGTCGGTAGCGCTGGGGTGTCGGTGAGGAAGTTAAAAGCGTCCAGAAAAGGGTTTGCTAGTATGTCCGTCTGAATGCCCACTACTTTAATTCGTCTCTCGTCAAGGGGCAGTCTAGGGTTTGCAGCGCTCCACTGGGGATTTTTTTACGCACCCTGGTAGGAAGCGTTCAATGTCCATTGCCAGCAGAGGGGAGCTCCTGAGGTTGTAAAGCTCTGAATAGAATTTATGGAAGGCTTCCATTATATCAGGTAGGGTGTGGGAGATGCCCTTGTCTGGGTGTTTAACCTTTGCTATGAATGTTGTTTGCCTACTTTGTTTTAGCGCTGAGGCTAAGAGACGTCCGCACTTGCCTCCGGAGTAGAAGTAGGAGTGTTTGGTGCATAGTAGTGTGCGTTGGACCTGTGTGTTCAATATTTGTTGTAGCTCCGTGCGCTTTGCGAGCAGTGCCTTGTATGTCTGGAAAGAGTCTTTACTGTGGTGGACTGCCTCCAGAGCCCGTATATCCTCTGTGAGGGATTTCATTTTACTCTCTCTCCCTTTTTTCTGTGTGGAGGCGATGGCTATGAGCTGTCCCCGAAGCACACACTTATGCGCTTCCCATGTCATAGGGGGGGAGGTCTGCGGGGAAGAGTTTTCTGTGAAGTACTGTTGAATGTGTGTATTTTTTTTTGTCACTAATTTAGTAGCAGGTCATTTAATTTCCATTGGTAAGTTTTTAGGGGTAGAGAAGGTATATGAACAGCAAGAGACAGGGGTGCGTGGTCTGACCATGTGATAGGGCCATCGGAGCATGATGACACTAAATGCAATAACTGATGTGGGAGAAAGAACATGTCTAACCTGGAGTAAGTACGAGTTGCAGGGGAATAGTAGGAGTAGTCCTTCCTAATGGGGTTGCTTATTCTCCAGCATATAAATAGCTGGGAGCTGTCCAGGAGGCAGGAGAAGTGCTTGCGAATTGAGTCATGTCTGTTGGGAGTGGCCGATGTGGTGTCTAGAGCTGAATCTAGGGACAGGTTACAGTCACCCCCCATTATGAGTATGCCCTCTGCAAAGGTCTCTATCCAACGTAGGCATTTTTAAGGGTCTTGCATTGGCCCGTGTTGGGTAGGTACATGTTTACAAAAGTGATTTTGTTTTGTCCCATGGTCCCCTTTACAAGCAGTCCCTGAGTCGTCTGTTTTCTGGTCTATGAGCGCAAAAGGTACCTGGGCGGAAAGTAATATGGCCACTCCCCTGGTTTTTTTTTAAGCGAAGTGGACAAAATAACTTGTGGGATACCTACTGTCCTCAGATTGGGGGTTTTGTCTTTTTTAAAGTGGGTTTCCTGGAGGAACGCCACATCCACTCGCAGTCTGTGTAACTCATTAAGGGCTAGGGAGCGTTTTTCTGGGGAGTTCAACCCCTTCACATTGAGGGTGATTATGCGTAGGGTAGTCATTGTCAATCTGTTACTTTATGATTATCTAGGGCTGGTGTCGTGCCTCCACCCAGCGCTTGGCCGCAGACCTGTCTGTACAGAAATATTTGGAAATTTACAAGTAAGAATACAACAACACAAGACAAATAAAAATAATTCAATGATCAATCAATGAATATCACGAACCTGAATTATAACCAGCCCTGAGTCAGGTGTGTAAATACCTATGGTAACTGTCTCGGACAAGATGGTCTGTCTCTCCGAGATCCTATCTGTCACCTTGGTGTAGGC